ACTGCTCAACCTCCAGCCCCTTTCCCAACCTTACAGACCTAAGCTGAGCACTGGTATGACTACAGCTACTTTCTGCACTTATGGTTCCTTTCATCTTGGGACTCAAAGCACTCAAGTTAACATAACCATACAACTTTAAAGAAATAGGAAATGAAAGTTTTAAAAAAGACAAAAATTGAATTATGGTTGGATTTAGCAACAACTGTGAAACTTTCCACTTTCAGATATTTCTTTTTGATCCATCCAAGGCGACAGCTAGAATGCTTCCAAGATCAGAAGGCGTCTCTGTTATTGCCCAGGTGGAACGCAGCACAACAGTGATTTGGGATGTACTGGGAGTATAACTAGATCACTGGCCACAAGCTGCCTGAGTCACCTTTGCCTTCTCTGAAAGAGTGACAACACTGCACTCAGGAAAGGATGGGAGGAAACATCTAAAGACTGGCGGCCACATTCAACTTTCCTGTTATTCACAATCTCACTCAATTCTGTTACCAACAATCCAATCCACCTGTTGATGGTATTATGAGGACGATGAAACTGCTTTTAAAGACTCGGTAAAGTGGACTGATTTTTTTTTTTTTTTTTGACTAAGAGAACACTGTCAGTCAGAAAGCTGATGAACTAAATGATAAAGGGATTTTCTCTACCAGGTATAGAGAAGTCAAACTCTTTTCTTCTTAAATCTCAGATACTGTAGGATGCCACGTCAGTTAATTAATAAATATTTACTGGATACACACCATATACTCTGAAGTACCATGCTGGCAATAAATCATGTTTCTGATCAAGCAGTGATAGAGCAGATCCTACTAAGGAAAACAAGAAAAGGCCCCTGGAAAATAACATTAAGGAAATGTCATTCCATGTTACAAAATTACAAATAAAATAATTCTGTAAGTATTTATCTCATCACAAGCAAGATGTTACACTATTAGAGGTTCTAACAAATATTCCAGAAGAATTCAACTATAAGGCAGTGGATGGTAATATGGCGGAAGCTGAGGATGGCCAGAAATTTCTTGTTCCCAATCCAGAGGATCAATGGTTTAAGTTATGCATTTGCGTGTAGGTTAGGTTTGTAGAAAGATACTTTAATAATATACTACTTATTTGTTTCTCTGAATTTCAGAATACTCAGGATTTTACTAACAAACTAGGCCATTTTAACAAATATTTTTATGTTACATATTAATTATATTCCTTCAAGCTCTGAGTGAATCGGTGTTCTCTATGGTATGATCATGTTTTAATCTCCACCATCTCTTTCTTTACCACATGGACTGCTTTTCAATATACTTGAGTTTATTGGACTCAAAAGAAGTAAAAGTGACCTCTATACAGTTTACAATTCCATTCAACAGTTGAAATATAAACATTGATTTATCTGAAATGAAGAAGTACTTTGCTTGATTTAAAAATTCTCACAATGCTTTACTCAGTCTCACTGATGAAGTTCAAGATTTTCAACTACACGTATGTTAGGGTAAGTTTTCTTATAGTGGCTGAACTACAAATCTGGATCTCTAATATATAGCTCAGCTCTGGGTTCTGTTTTTAATTATGACCCTGGGGGGTACCAGACTCTATGAAGTGAGTAGCAATAGGTTAGACTGGAGAAATTATAGGAAAAGTGGAATCATAAGAACTAAGAGAGAGTCTTGAGTAGGAACATTTTAGAAACAACTGTATGGAATCTCTACTCTTTGTGAAAGGCTATATTCAACAGTAATAGCAAAAAACCTCCACATACAGAGATTGCACCTACAGATGGTTGAACAGTGATTTTCTAGGATCCCATAATACTTTATATAATCATCTGTAATTAAATTAGCACAAGATAAAAATAATCTACTTAAAATAATATAAAGTATTCAAAATAATTGCTAGGCTAAACAACATTCTTTTTCATGAAAGGAACTGTCATAGACAACCAAGTGGCAAAAACAGAATGGAGTGAGCTGTGGTTGAGCGTAAATCCTATAGCAATGAAAGTGATTTGTATTATCCTTACTTCTTTGAATAAATTCAGATGACAGCCCTATTTCATTTCTTCATTCGGTTTGGAGGCCAGATGGCATTAGAATCATTTACTTCACCTTGCTGTGCTTAATTACTACAATAAACACACTATTTTCCAAATTAATCATAACAAAGTAATTTCATTAGTAACACAGCAGGCTGTTGAATTATTAGCATCATAACAGTTTGCAAACAATTAAACTTTATTTGAACCTTAAAAATTTGCAGAGTGGAACATTATTGTAACATCTAATGGCAATAGAGTACAAATTCAGTACAGAGCAAATAATCAAGCAAAACGCTATATAAAATATGACTTACAATCACCTTTGAAAAAAATTAGCTCTCTGTTCATAGAAAAACAAATAAAAGCTAAGCAAACATAATGAGAACATAGCAATTAGCATATTTTCTAACAAGCCATGTTGTTTAAATTCACATTAATGATTATTATTATGATCTTGAAGAGTGTGTGATATATTATCAAGGGTGTAAAGAAAACTTTCTGCCTCCTAGTATACAGACGATTTCACCAAATGGATACAAAGTAGTCATGAGTTGAAAGTAATGATTGTTTTTTCCTGTCAGTCCAATTAAAAAAGTTTTGTTTCCCTTTTCATCTCCCACCTATATTCAAGTGAAAAAGAACAAAGGCCAGAGGAGCTCTGGACAAAAGTTAACACTTTTTTTCTGTACTGTCACCATTCCAGAGACTATCTGGCATCAGTTGGCAAAGGACTCCCTCTCCTGGATTAACTGTAAAAACAGGCAATAATCTTCTAAATACTTTACGTTTGGAGTGAGTCTGTGCCTGAGTGGAGGAGGGGTTTCCAAGTGGGTTCCTATGCAATGAAAAGCTGCTGCCATCTACTGGCCCAAGACTAAAATCTTCATTTAGGCCAGAAGCACAATATCTGTGCCCACAAGGAAGTCTACATTTTCAGTGGAACCCACAACCGCTTTCACTTTTCAATCTCTCAGGCTTTGAAAACCAATCCACTAAATTCATCACCAGTTGTCTCACTTCTGCCAAGATGATTTCAATCTATCCCAATGGCTCTATATTAGGAGAAGATTAACAAGTGCATAAATTAATTTCTGAAAGCTTTAACTTGACATGGTCTAATCTATATAAACTAGAATTCACCCACAATCCCCCAAATTAATATATATTTTTTACATGTGAAATCTGATAATCACAGTACAGAGGGGATAATAGTAAAACATAAACTCTGAAATATTGCTTATAGATAGTTTTTATAAATAATGGAGGTTTTTAAACATTATCGGCTCGTTTGCATGGTTAGAATCTTTATCTTTAAAGCAAAGATCTGAAAAGTTCAACAGAAGTAGTACCTTCTAATCAAGGATTCAATATTAGCAGATTATACTTACTTCAAATAATTATCCAATCAGCAGTATATTTTGATATATATACCATAGTGGTACCTTGTAGACATTTAAAATACCTTTGATTTCAAACATACATGAAAAAGTAATAATATAACTGCACAGACCTTGCTCTGGAGTACAACGTACACCTCCAATGTCAGACTAACACTACCCTTCCATTCACCTGTACCTGGGTACATGTTCCCACCGGATTTCTACACCCTCCTCTCTGAGCCTTCCTTCTCTTCTCATTGCTTTCAGAGGTACAGAGTGGGCCCAAATCTGGACTTTCACTGTTTTGTGGTGGGACTTTAATACCACAGTAACAATCACGCAGGGTAAGAGTACTCAGTTATGCCTTCTGACTTTGAGAATACATTGAGATTCTTTATGCCATTACATTAGTGGCAGAATGGGACCTCTCACAAAATTTTTGTTCCATTAAATTTAAAGAAAACTACAGTAGAAAGTGTTGGCAAGCCCGTTATATAACCGGGGTATTTATTATTGGTAAAGGGCTTTGCACAAACCATGGTTCTGGTCTTCACGTGTGTTGCAGAGGGTGACAGCATACTCCCCATTTGCAATTCTATCGTTTTTCTTTCTTGTGGCTATATTTAACATAAAGTAAATTCCCCAATCAGTAAAAATTCTTTCATGAAAACATGTTACTATTGTTTGAAAAATAAATACTAAGATAACTCATCTACAAAGTTTTAACAAAGCTACATTCTTTAGATAGCATCTACCAAAAACTTTCATGATACATTCAATTGAAATTTTTATGAAATTATATATTACATTCTAAAAAATAATTGATATCCAGTATTAAGAGAAATTACAACTCTTACTAGAAGTAGCAATGATTATGTGATACATATAAAATAGTGCTGAATTTTTCACACAAATCAAATGAGTAAATAAACCTATGATTATTTCTTTGAAAAACAGCAACAGGTATAACTTTACTGCTTGCATCTAATTTACATTAATATCCTTCATTTAATTTCACATCAGAGGAATATTATAATGAATGCATGAAACAACAAAGACAGACGATGCTCAACAAAACAAAGAAAGGTTATGAGCTGTCACTCATGCTTTCACGATGATTCTCAATCCAAAGCATTTGCACACTAGCAGAGGAATCTTCCTTTTCTGCAGGCAGAAAGGGAAGGTTGCATTTTAATTTTTTTCTTCAGGCAAAATGTTGATTTACCCTGCTTAGAAAAATGTTACATTTTTAGCCAAGGAAAAAAATGAATGTTTACTCAATATTTTGTCAATTCAGCTCCTCAGAAAGGCCATAAAAGTGGTATTTTACTAAAGAGGAGGAGGTTTGGGAAAACAGCTGGTTATTATCAAAGGGATTTTCTCTAAATAATCTATTTATTTCCAAAGTAAATTCTATGAAGTTATTTTTAAAACTAAACTAGATTTTTTTTTTTAAAGAAGAAGATGATTTGGGAGCATAATCTTTGTGCTATCAGAAAACTACAAAGACTTTTAAAAAGGCAAAGACTCATAACGCAGAGACCAAGAGAACATATGAGCTATTACAGAATATTGGATTAAAATGTACTTACCCAGGACTCTCAAATATCATACATCTCCATTATGTAGGCTTTCGGCACCAAGCCAATGGCTCCCTTCATTTCTCCTACCCACCAGCCATATCTATTGTATTCCTAATTGAAAACAATATGCAGTATTAACCTTCAGACTGGGTGTAAGTACAATGCTGTTTGTACGCAACTTCTTAGAAATGTTATTTCTTTTTATAAAGTTATAGGAGCTTGAGCTGCAAATTGAAACATTTTAATCTTTTTTTGTTTCTGAACACTTTAAAAATGCTGTTAGGCAAAGATTTAGATTAATGTATAAGACAAAGCCTGTTTATTTCACAGTGTAGAACACAGAAACAGTCACTTAGGATAGAAACCTAGCAAATGAAACTACATAAGGAAGTCCGCTCTCTGGGCCCCTTTCCCTTCTCTCTCCCCCATCTCTCTCTCTTACTTACACACACACACACACACACACACACACACAGAGCCTGGGGGACACCTTTTAATATGCAAACACCAGTGTTAGAGGCTCCGAGGTCATAGCCAGGATCCTTAGGATACTATCTTTGCCTTCAAGGAGCTTTTCATCTAGCAAGGATAGACTTTTTTTTTTTTTCACAATAAACGACTTAATTCCTAGTTAAACTCATATGACCGAAAATGATTTAGGATGTAGAGGTATGCCCCTTCTTAGGAAAATCTAAAAATGAGTATAGACGTTTTAAACAGATAAATTAGAGAACAAGGAAACACTACTAATGCTTCCCCCAACTGGCTTTCCAAAATAATTCACAAAAGGGCTCCTTTTCAAAAGCTTCCCAAAGGCATTGATTGTTCCTCTGGATTGATCACAAACTGCATTAGGTAAAGGATGAATGGAAGGAATTTAAAGGTGGTATTAGATTCACCCTTACGGGGGAAGATCAATAGGAAATAAAAGTATCTCAAATTATAAAGGCAAAATATTAATCTAGCTGTAAAAAAAGACTGATTGATGAGTCACTTTTGAGTTTATTTTGCAGTGTGAGCTAACCCTGTGCCTCCTTTTCTTCCCTTTGCTCCACTGACAGACACACCACTGCTCTAGGCATAGTGAACACTGTACCCGGTCTCATTTGTCTGCCAGGCTGACTAATGTATTTTTATCTCAAATTTATTTATGTTTAGTGAGATACAAACAAAGTAAAATGAATTACAAGTTTCAAGAATAATATCTCCCAAAAGCAATACTCTGAAAAAGCACTGTAGGACCCAAATTTAATTTTTCATATAAGATAAATTTTTAAAATCAATCCCCAAAGTAATTCAATAGGCTATGATTTCCAACATCTGAGTCACAGATAAAGTGCATATGCATATCGAGTTACATGTGGGGAGGGAATGTTAATACCAGTACAGATTTCACATTTGTATTGATGACTAACCATGCTATTGACCATCAGAAAGGAAAATAATACAATTTTTCCATACACATGTAGCAACATTCCCAGGTGTGTATTGATATGTAGTCTATCAATAGAGAGATTACAAGATTAAAATCTATAAGTACTTTTTTAAACGATGGGATGTATCAGAATTAAGTTTTTCGTAAGAATAAGATGGAAGGAAAACGGGGGTGCTGGAGAAAGGCCTGATTCTAATGAGGGCACAGCTCTGGCTTATGAGGCAGTAGACTCAAGATTTTAAAAGTTTCCTGATAGTGTGAACTTAGTGGACAAAATTCTCTAAGCAACGAAAAGAGTCTGATGCCCAGAACTCAGTGAAGATGACTATAATCTATGTAGAATATATTTGTCAGAAGAAAATACCAACTTACTGAAAGCTATGATTAGTAACCATTATATCCTAATAGGTACCTAATAAAACCGCCCTTTTCAATTTTTTAAGGCAATGAATACAATTAGAGCCTAATGCTTAACAAAACAAATGTATTTCACCTTGCAGAGGCCAAAGGCCCACAATGTAAGATTTCAAAATGGATACTTAACAAAGTAAGTCTAAGTGTGAAAGCTCTTATCCAATGCCCATCTAAGATTTTATTCAGCTGATTATTTGGAAAGAGTAAAGGAACTAGGCCCCCAAAGTCTAGAAAAACAGAATACATTTAGTGAGAGGGCATATTATGACCCAAACCTGCTTTCAGAGAACAGCCTGCAATCTGGGTTTCAATGTTTAGATTCAAGTTACAAACCAGAAGGTTCATATTACTTTATAATATTCTGTTTTGAAATTATAATCTACACTCCAAATTAAGGGCATATTATTGTTCTCAAAAAGCTCATTCACATCCAAATTTAAGAAGCTGATTTCCAACAAATCACTTCAGCAAAGGACCAGTGACATACTTCACACAAGAGAAATTTGCATGACGGCAACTGAGAAGATTCATTAAACAGAAAGTACAGTAATAAACAGCAGAGGAGTTTATTCAGCTGTACACAAATCCCTTAAAAGTAACATTCTAGGAAAAAATTAAGTTTTAGGCTAAAATAATCTTAAATGTTTCACTAAATTAATTTAAAATAATTGAAAGGCGTATGAAATACACACCTCATAAAAGTACTCTAAAATATAACAGGTTTAAATCAGAAAAGAGTAAAAATAAAAAACCAGAATGCTTATTACTTTACATTCGTAAAGAATTCCATATAGCACTCCTGTGTGGAATTAAGAGGTAAGATAAAACATAGTGAGGTAAAAATCTAGTAGGCAAATTTATGGATTTACACTGCAGCCATTAGAGTATGTCAGCAAGACTGCAAACACAGAAGCTTTTACTTTTATCATTACTATCCTCTGTATGAGCCTCCTGAGCAACATGAATCCCAATTAAACCATTTGCAGCCTATAAATTGGAATGAAGATGCATCTTGGAGTACGGTATTCTAAACTCCAGCCTGGAGATTCAATAGCATACACACTTTCCTTTGGAGGAAGAAAATCTGCCTTCCATTGCCTTTCCCTGTTTGCTGCCCCCAAACAAATGTGATTATGAATGATGTATTACTTACAGCGGAAAATAATGCAATCCATACAATGTTGTCTCGCTGTCCACATACTCATTGTAGTATTGGTCTAAAAGTCACGGGTGGGTCATTAAAAAAAAAAAACAACCCTCACACCTTATCTTGTTAATAAACAAAAACTAAAGAGACAAAAGTCATATAAGGCTGCTATCTCAATCTCTGAAAGGTTAGGAAGCATCGTGTCATCTTGATGGCACATGAGATCTCAGGTACAAGAAGGTCTGCCATCTGGTATTCTTCACCCTACTCGGCTCTTAACGTCAACTGAAATGCTAACATAGGCAAGTGACTGTACTTCAGGAGGACTGATAAAATAATGAAGAGTCCTTTAATCTACAGGAAACCATTCTAGTCAATTTATAAGAAATATTGCATCCCTTTGTAAGATGTGTAATTATTTTCTATTAATCATGTGCTGTAAAGCTACATTATGCAGTTATTCTGTTATCACTAGAGAGAGGCCTGCAGTCAGCTTCTGACAATGTTAGGTAATTACTAACACAAAGCTTCTTTCTCCTCCCGTAGCAATGCTATCAAGATCTAGAGGTGTAGTGATGCTTAGTGTATAAAAATAGTACTCAAAAGAAATTTAGTATCTGCAAAATGGATGGCTTCACGGCAGTTAAAGAAGCAAGAAAGCTGAACTTGCCCAATCATTTGAGAAAACAATCATAAAGCAGCACTGAACAGTTGTGGTCTAACTCCTCTGTTTTCAATTTTTACCATCATTAAAATAGTTTTTGTTTTATTTTATAGTTAAAGTTTTAGGCCTCAATTAATCATTATTAAGCAATAAATTAAAGTGATTATGTAAAAAGGCAGGAAAAAAAGGACTAGTTTTGATAAAGTGAAACAGAGACTTTATCCAACACAATAGCAAACGTATGTCTAGGTTTACTTACTAACTAAATCTTCTCTCTCTGCCAGTGTATTATTTTACACTTAAATAAGATGCCAACATTTACTTAAATCCTTTTCAGCACCACGATTCTCATTTCTCAAGTATGTTAATCCACTTTCTACAAACCATATGGTAAAAGAATGCTGCCTTAACAGAAACTTGAAACATTAGTAAGATTTTGTGATGTACCACCCCTTTCAGAAAGTAGTTACCAATCTGTTTGAAAGCAACAGGTGTTAGAAAGGTTAAAAGACTATATTACTTTCTCCAAAGGTATATCTGTACTTCAAAACATACCAGCCTTGTGCAGAAATAAAGGTAATTTTATTCACAAAATATAAACTACATTGAGTTTCAGAACCAGTGGACTTCACCATTGTTTTCCAACTATTCACTGTGATATTTTCAATTTTTCAAATTGTTCATAAACATTGTAGTAGCATGAAAACTAGATAACTATTAAAATATGGAAATACTTTCTTCAAGGCTACCTCTTCAATCTCTTCCTTTTTACTATCTCCAATTAGAAACTTTGTAAGAATCGTTTCTTATACATCCATCATTTCAAAAGTTGTCTTAAAATGCACAACAGGTACTTGACAACTTCGTTTTTTACTATTATTATCTACGCTTTAACTGCTTGAATCTTAGTCTCCTAACTCATTCCTTAAATGAGGAAATGGACACTAACAATTTCTAAGATCCTCCCTGATGTTTGAATACCACCATCACGAACCTGCTTTACCACCCTCAGTCTCTTAGCATCTCATGGAAATCAACCTCACTACTTTATAATTTACTACGCAAGTGTGACTTCGAGTTACTCTAATCCAAAGAATTACTATTTTTTTCCTCCGTGCACTGTGCACTCCATTTTTAAAGCGAGAGAGACAAAAGACGAGCAAGGAAGGTGATAGTAAGAACTTAATTCCTGTTACAAATTTTAGTTTATATTCCAGAGTCAAGATACATTTAATTCAAATTTCTACACAGTCGCCATTTACAATGGCGTTAAGTAAAAACTGATATGCAGACTGATGATCCTTAGGTATTGTTAGGCAAAGAAAGATCAAATCATGCTCAGTAGTGGGTGGCCTTGGTACTCAGTGTATTTCACCAACCAGTACATGACTGTTAACTGTTCTAGTTCAGACCTTCATCACCTCACCCTGGATCATTGCACCATCCACTCT